TTTTAATCATTTTTCAAGACCCATGTTATCTCCAGGGAGACTTTTTCTTCTAGTCAAAGTTAGTAATTCCTTCCTCTCATATCACCCCCCTTCTTGTTTTTCTATTTAATTACAGAAGAATATATATGTTCTATTTCCCCCTCTGGATAGTGAGAACTTCCATCTTATTTATTCATTGGACTTTTATTGATTTTAGGTGTTCAGTAAAGGTTTATTAATAAATGATTGTGAACCTTCTTTTATAAAGCATCTGTGATTTAACCCTCCCACTGCCAAGCAAAAAATTGGCTCACTGAATGATGTCTTACATTGAATAATACATAATCTCCCACTTCTTTCTGTTGTTGTGGTTTGGTTTGGTTTTACCTTTGTATCTGGGAAATAGAAATTAAATGATATAATTAATTTTAGTAACCCACGGTGCTGGAAATATCAAGTTCTAATATTTTTATTCGATGTTTGTTTAGCTTTATCTTTGAATCAACTATTAATCAGCCCTGGCTGCTGTGGCTCAGTGGACTGAGTGCGGGCCTACAAATCAAAGAGTCCCCAGTTCAATTCCCAGTCAGGGCACATGCCTGGGTTGCGGGCCAGGTCCCCTGTTGGGGATGCACAAGAGGCAACCACACATTGATGTCTGTCTCCCTTTCTCCCTCCCTTCACCTTTGTCTAAAAATAAATAAAAAAATAAATAAAAAAAACAATTAACATGTTTTGCCATCAAAGGTTGTGTCAAATACTTCTTTGGAATGTGAACAATAACACTTAGAAACACAGAAATATAAACCAAACTCAGGTTAAACTTAAAAACCAAACTAAGGTAAAACTTATAAACAGAAATATAAATCAAAATTTTATACCATGAAGATATTTCAAAAGTAAAACTAAAAAATATAACATTCATCAACATTGAACAGTAATTTCCAACTTGATTTTATGTGAAATTGGTATCTTACCAATTATTTAAAGAGATGTCAAAATCTACAAGGAAGAACTTAGAAAAGTATGATGTAATTTTGTGTATATATACTTTATGAATCTAGATTTTATATAAATAAATAAATAAATAAATAAACAAAATCTAAGACTTTTCTGGGAGAATGGTGAATAAAGTAGGAGCCTGGAAATATCTAATGAAAAGAACAACAAAGTAAGAGTGTCACACTCCAAGAAATCTAGAAATCACTACAAGGAGAGCCATCTGAATATTCTGTGCCTTGGGGCTTCTTTCCCATATTAGCAGCTCTTCTAACCTGAATTACCCACATCATTTCTTCAATCTTAGAATTGGTCTCTGCTGCCATTGCTTTAAAAAAAAAGAAAAAGAAAAAAAAAAAAGAAAAATACTCCAGCAATATACATTTTTAAATATTAGTCCCACACTACTAATGAAATTAGTAATTTTAATCCACAGTTTTCTTACAACTAACTCAGGGAAAAATGTTTCATTTACTGCCCGTGGTCAATTCTTAAGGCAAGGCAATTAATTCATCAGGAAAGTAGCATACACCTATACAGGACTGGGGAAGCATCATAGAGTAAATATGCAAATCCGATTTCCTCATGGCTGACAAGTTTCTATTATCAAACTGCTAATGTGTTTATTTGCCCCTCAATGGCTGGAGTTTTGTAATGAATACACAGTGAGCCCTGCAGTTATTAGCTGTGATGGCTAGGTGACAGGGAGGACACTACTGGAGAATTTGTACTTGAAACATCATTGACACACAGTCACATTTCTTTTTTTTTTTTTCCTTCTCTTCACTTAACACGACTCATGCAGTAGGAAATAAACTGGAGCCATTAGAGATTATTCAGGTTTAATAGCACACATCCTTTTAGCTGGCGGTTAGAACAATGCACGATGCGTCAGACTTAAACAGAGGCATCAATTATACTCTCAGTCCTGTTAATATTTTTGACAATATTTAAATAGCACATCCCTTCAGGGCATGGCTTTTTTTTTGCCCTCTCAGTTACACACCTGTCAAGTGTTTAATTTGCCAAAGGGAAACAGTTTGATATCTAAGAGCAGTCTTAATACTGAAGAAGCAAATTAGAAAAATTAAACATTATTGAATAGACATAATGAGGAGGATCTGAGAGGAAATGTAGTAGGCTCAATTCAACATGGCATGTCAACACCTGCCATCAAAGCAGCTATATGATCATGGTCTCGAATATGCTGCGTATACCTCGAGCTTTTCAATTATTCACTCCCTTTGCTTTTGAAGAGAGCAGAATTATGATGGATAAAATCAGAGGGGTCGAATACACCAATAATACTAACAAAGATGGCAACAGTAACTTGTACCTATGGTGCATATAAAATTATACATCTGAAAATATAGTTCAGGTATAAGATAATAAACAAAAGCTAGCCACTGTGGATCAGATTTATGTAGTTACTGGTTTAAAAGCACAAAAATATTTCATTCCTTAGGTGTATTAATTAAATATTAAACTATAAATATTAATGATATTATATTAATATTAATATTAATAAATATTAATAATAATATAGTTGGTAAACTATATAGAGAATTTAAATCTAACAAAGTTTCGAATTTTTGTGTTTAAACTTTAAAACAGAAAATACTACAAGTTTCTGAAATTTTACTCTAGTCATCCAAGACAAAAATCTGGTTCAATAAATGAATGAAATTGAATTAGTAAAGAATGGAGACCAAAGAAAAGAATCAAAACAACTAAGAAGCTGTCAGTGGTTTTAACAGAAATTAAACTTTTATCAGATAAAGACCAATTTTCTGCCTTTGGGGGAAAATTATGTGAGATGGGCTGTACAGTCAGAAATGGGCAAGGGTGGTGCCTGGCAAGGCCAAGAAAACTGAATTCTAGTCACCCATCCTCCCTAAGTCGTTGTAATAAGCAGAGTGTGGGCCACGTGGTTTCCTTGGTCCCTTTCAGTACTCGAACAGGTGACCTAAGAGACGAAAGTCCAAAGGCAAGTGAGACATGCTTTCAGAATTCACAAACCTCACAGCTCACTTAGTCCTCAAATATATCAGTGTCTAATCATTAACACAAAAACATCACACTGTACATAGTCGCAGATGACATGTGATGATATTATGCTTCACAGATTTCCAAGGCAGTTGCAGCTGAATGATGTGGGGCTCAAAAACAGTTTTGGAGCTTATTTCCTACTTGGAAATGGTAAAACAAGCTCAACAACAAGTAGGCCCACTGACCCCCTCCCTTGGGCAGACCTGTAAGTGTAAACGCTAGTCCGCTTTCATCAGGCTGACTACAAGGGGCATTTTTACAATTATCTCGCTGAACTAGTGGCATCTCCTTACATACTTACTGGGACTTTTTGTTTTAACTTTTCCTCTCATTCTAATCATAGCTTCATAATACAAGTGGGAAAGACACCTGCTCGACTTCACACTCTGAAAAAACAAATAGTTTTTCCCATTATAATCACATTTATATTCAGGATATTGGCTTCTCCAAAACCTTGCCCATCCATTCTGAAAATGAGTCTCTAAAACCAATCTTTTCAATAACTTGCAAAGGGGACAAATACAACTACATATAACAAAACACCACCCCTTTTCAATAATTCATGATAATGACTTTAAGAATCGTTAAGTAGAAATTCACTAGAGAAAAATATTTTTAAAGTTTCTTCTTGATTTAACTTTTTGGTTACCAAAATATCTAGATTAAGAAGTTTCATGACATTAAACAATTCCTTCTCTATTGCTACTATTTGTTCTTTTTGCACTTGGCACATATTTCAGGTTTTTTTAATTGGAACTGTTTTATCACTGAATTATAAAACTAGTCTTAAGTTTCATTTTTAACCTTTTAAGCAGAATATTTACTAGCAAATCATCCAATACCATTAAACTAATGCTAAAAATATTAGAATGAGAATTAACTTGGATTGAAGGCATAGATTGACTTCAAACCTTGTGAGGGTAACAATCATTTTAATTATTTATTTATTTATTTATGTATTTATATATGTATGTATGTATTTATTTATTTATTTACTTATTTTTTTGCCCTGGTCATTGTGGCTCAGTTAGTTGGAGCATCATCCCGTAACCAAAAGGTTGTGGGTTAGATTCTTGGTCAGGGCATATACTTGGGTTAAGGATTCAGTCCCCTGTCTGGGTGCATACAGGAGGCAACCAATCAATGCTTCTCTCTCGCATCTGTTTCTTTCTCTCCTTCCTCTCTTTCTAAAAGCAATGAGAGAATGTCCTTGAGTGAGGATAAAAGATAAAAGAAAATAAAAAACCCACTAAAATATTTGTTTTAAACCTGAAAAATGGTGATTTAATTAGTAAATTCAAAGAACTGACTTCAATTTTCATTCTGTCATTGTGATGTATTTCTGTTTTAATATAAATGCTAGGCTTTTTAATGCTCATGATTTTTACAGAGAAAACTGTTACATTTAGAAGTTCTAATGTTTATCACCATCTGATGCTGTCATGGAAGGAACGGCTACTTACACTCCTTTAAGAAGTGAGAATTGCAATTCCTCTAACTGATGACAGTGTAATTATTCTTTTTACTTTTAAAATGGAGGTGATTTCCCTTCTTCACACATGATTACACATGCAAATCCAGGCTCATCTGAAATCTTGTAAGTATACTGAATGTCTGAATCCGAATGAGCAAAATCACATGAACAATGAGCTTTCATGATGACGGAAACCAAGTCTACAGCCACCTACTCTAAACATATTTCATTATCCCCTCCTCCCGTAGGGGCTCATTCTTTAGCATTCACACAACTTTCAACACAATGTCATATCATCTACAATATACAGCAACAACCATTACAAAAATAACTAGGGGGGAAAAAGCCACAGTGAATCTGAATGTCTCCTTTGGAGGTTTAAATGACTTCATTAACTATTCATTAACACATACAAAATTCAGCCTTTGAGAAAAACACAAGCCTTTCACAAGATCTATGCCAAGCTGCGAATGCCTGCTTTGGGTGAACGATGTCCTACCTGGTCTTTCAGCTGCTGCACAGAAGTCTGAAGGCTCAGAATCTGACTGAAGAGTGGGCTCTGCAAGACCGACTTTAACAGGTTCAGTTTGTCTTCGTTTGCCACATCCCCACGTTCTCGCAGTTTGGCCTGTAAGCGCTCTGCTGCCTGCAGGGCCCGGGTTTTATCTATACCAAAGAGCAGCATCAATCAATACAACAGGATTCAAACACACACATCAACCTATGCTGACAGAAATCCTAAAACTGTTCCTTCTTGAGAGCATAAAATTGACTCAGAAAAAAAAAGAGGGACTGAAACATGTCACTATAAATATGTCCCTCAACCTTAAAGTCTCTTATAAGAAAGTTTATTTGAAAGTGGGGAATTGATTATAGTGTATGATACATGCAACTAATTTTAAAGTACAGAATCTAATTCAAATAAAGTATATTTGGGTTCTAATGCCAGCTATTTCTACTTTAATAAAAACTATTGAAGACTAAATGCTCAGTAGTCTTGCAAATGCTGATATTTTCACCTGTTAAAAATTTATTTACATGTAAGAAAAATTAGAAATATAATTCACATATAAGTGAATTTGGAAAATGTCATAACATCCAAAATATGACGATTTTATATATTAAAAAGCATTCTATACATGAGAATTTACTTCAAAATATATCACAGTAATGCATGTCATTTCAAAAACACAACTTTTAATGTTTTATGGGTTTTCCCCCAAATTTAAATAGCAAATTTACACATATAATTAATTTTCAAATACCATAATTCAAATATTAATTGACCATTTAATGTATCAGGCACAAAGCTGCAAAATATATAAGAATATAACAGTAATAATAATCCTAGAATCTTACCTTCATGTTCTACCAGATAGTGAATTTCTACCAAAAATAATAATTAAAAACATCCCCCTAAGCATGTGCATAGGCATGTACATACTCACCCACTCTCTCCTTTTCTCTCTCTCTTACTTAGAAGTGAAACCATATTTATTTTTTAAATGGAGACTGTTCAATTATATGTCCTAATGGAATATATGTTATATATATTAAAATATATTTGCCATATCATAGTAATAAAAAATAAGAATTATCACCAGAGATACTTTCTATAACATTAAATGTGGAATTACACAGAAATTGGGAAATTAAAACATGAATTAATGCTGATTATAAGTTCACAAACACACACAAATTTAAACAAACAATACATACTTATGTGCAGAATTTTAAAAGCAAATAATAATAAAGATACAGATGAAAACTTAATTCTAGGTGCTATTTCCCATGGTATCTCCGAATAAAAAGCCAGCATTAGGTTCGTACATAAGAACTGGGTTTACATTTAAACATAAAACCCATAATTAGTAAAACATATATATGCTTTTAACTTTTGCTTATAAATGATGTTTTTATAACACTTCAGGTGAAATTGTACAAATATAGAAACACATGACCTTAGTATAATGCTAGTGGATAAAAACTTTTAAAACTGAGTTACAACAGACTCCTGCTATTTAGAACATACCATATTTCAAAGATCCCATTGGAAGGACTTTCAATTCTTATAAAATAGTCAAAAAGAAATAGGTCTTACCTATAGTTTCTAACATTTTTTTCAATGTTCAGTGTTCTCTATATACAGCAACCAAAATGGAACTCTGGGGAGAAAAAAATGAAACAGTTATGTTTAATCATAACTTTAAAATTAGATTCTGAAACTATATACTACAGAAATCACATGATATTACTGTAATTCCTCTGACCACTAAAACTTTGTTGACTTAAAAGATAGTTCTCCTTCCAGGCAAAAAAAATCTTACATTTGCAGGTAATACTTGCAAAATGAGGTGAATGGCATAAAATCTCTTTTAAATAAAATTACAGACATATCCAAAATATTTCCCTAAGAGTTACTCAATATAGCTCACTAAAATCTTGGATTCATTTAAAGATCCTTACCCACGGAGTAAGAAGCTAACCTGACTCTACATAAGAAATTCTGTGGGCAAAAAATTGAAATGTAAAAAGCAGAAGATGTGATCCTGGCCTTGAAAGTTCATAGTGTAACTGGGCAGACAGTAGATACATACCATTAAAAATGAACTATGACACTCAAGTACTACTCTAGCCACTGGGACATAATGCATTAAATCACGGATGAAAAACTGAATAAAAGAATGTTAAATTTTAAAAAAAGACTCTTCAAAGGTTTTCAAAATACTCACCTAGCTATAATATTCTCTTCTTTCCCAATAAAAACAACAACAAAAAAATTCTCAAATCCTTCAATTCACACACATCTCGTCTTTCTCTGACAATACTCATCTAGATAAAGTATTGAATTCAGCTCTCCACTGACCATGTCTACATCACTAACCCATCTTTAATCTCTGTCCAACAATTTTGCACAGTCTCCATAGTTAAATCTACCCTTTGTCTTGCAGAAAACTGAGTCATCAGGAAGTCAGTCAACAATTCAACAAAGGAATCTACAAAACACATCCTCACTTTCATCTGGAGGATAAGAAAGGGTATTTCTTTGAGAAGGAAGAAGTTGCCCCGTTGTTTCTTTAAGAGAAACATTTGGAAAAATGGAAGTATGTTGGGGGAGGGGGGGTGTGTGTTGGGGGGTGTGTGTGTGTGTGTGTGTACACACACATGCATGGACCATCAATGCCTGCAATTAGCTCTGTGTATAACAGAGAACAGTACTTACTGACTTTCCTTACCCCAATTTAAAATATACTACTGAAACCAACAGCTTCATTCCAGTCAATTAGCTCAACCACTGGCACTTGTTTTAAAAAATGTCCTGATGTCACAATGAGAGGGCACTGGCTTTAACCTGGAACTGAAACCTAGATAGCAGTGTGGCCTTGAGCAAGGAAGGGGCCAAGCATCTGAACTGTAGTTTCCCAGAGAACATATTACTCATTGCGAATATGATAAATGAGATAAATAAAACATGTCAATTTCCAGATCACTGTATAAATCATAATTATAAAATACATAAGGATTAATACTGAGTCCATATAGATGAACATTCCAAAACCAGGCACTGCATGGTTTCATTGGGAAAAACACCGGGAGATCTTAAAAATAAGCTAGTCATATTTTTTATTCTTACTGACAAGGAGGCTATAATATTCCTTCATAAAATAGCATACAATTAGGTTTCCTCTCTCAAAAAAATTATTAACTTCTGACAATTAAAAAGTAAAGATACCCCAACATAAGGAAGCCCAGATCTATGTAGGTATATTTAATTAAATTGCTCAAGGAGAAGTATGGCAGCACTGAAAGACCATGGATTAAGGAGTCTGATGATTTCAACTTGAACACTTACTAAGTCACTTATCTATCTTTTCTGAATTTGAAACTCTCTTAAAGTTCAGAAAGGGTAAAATTATATACATGAGTGCTTGGTATACACAATAAAAGTTGGTCCCATTCTCTTTCCTTTATAAAATATTAACTCAGAAAAATAGGCAGTACTGGCATGAGGTGAACGGGGAGGCACACTTTGAATTTAGAGGTCTGGTGATTTAGAAGGAGTCTGCAGAGAAAGTGGAGGGTAGGCAGTTCCAACTGAGAAAAACATTGCTGTCCAAGAGTTCACCTACAAGTCAGGTATGTGAAAAAATTAATCTTTTCCAGATAAATTCTTGCTATCACAAAGGTTTTTGGGGTTTTTTTTTAAAGGCTCAAGTTTCAAGTCACTGACATTAGCTCCCAGATGAAATCTCCACTCCTCTGGATTTCAGCAATAAAAAATTAGTTTCAGTTTATCCTCTCTGCTCTGATGTCCCTAAAATAAATACAGGGAAGTGTGTGTGTGTGTGTGTGTGTGTGTGTGTGTGTGTGTGTGTGTGTGTGTGTGTGTGTGTGTGTTTATCCAGATTTCACCATTAGTTACCATGACAGAGACAGGAGATTCAGAAACTGTGGTCTTTTCTATGTTCTTTACTCTTACCCAAGGATTCTGTTCTAAGTATAAAGAAATTCATTTGTAATCATAGAATTTTTGAGATGCAGAAATGGAGTGTACTCCCATGAAACAGCAGATGTGAATTCTCCTTCTCACCCTTTCACCATCACCGTTCCCTCATTACCCATCTCAGCATTGTATGGAAATAGGAGGGTATCTGAGTGAAAACAGTGGGTCACAGCCAATGAGTAAGACTTTAAAAAGTTCCAGTACATGTCAGAATGCCAAGCTCTGAGGGTTTTTCTAAGCAATTCATGTGACCAGTGAGGATGCTGAAGCAGAGGGGCAATAAAGAGAAGAAATAAGAAATGGAAACAATAACAAAGTAATCAACACTAATGCTGGAGCTGAAGTAATAACAGCAAACATAGCACCTATCACATGCTGGGCACTGTACAAAGCATATTATACAATTAAATCGTTTAATCCTCACCTAATCCACTCGCTTGAGGAAACTAAGGCACAGAAAGGTTAATTAACTTGTCCAAGGTCATACAACTAGCACCTGATGGAGCCAGAATTTAAATTCAGACATTGTGGCTCCAGAGTCAGTTAACAATTTAACTTCTCCAATACCCCACCTCTGGATAGGAATATTTACCCAACCATTCTCTCCTCTTTCCAAGTTCAAAATTGTGTAGACCTTGCCCCACACAAAGAGAAACTGAAGGAAGAAATTGGAAGACAACTTGCATATAAAGTCTAGTGAAATAAGCCAGTCAGAGAAAGACAAATACCATATGATTTCGCTCACATGTGGAATCTAACTGAACTAACTGAACTATGAAACAGACTCCTAGAGAGCAGGCTGATAGCTGGGGGCAGTAGTTTGAGGGGTGGAGGGATCAAGCAAAAAGGAAAAAGGACTCATGGACATGGACAACAGGGTGGTGATGGCAGATGGGGGGAGGGGAGTGAAGGGAGGTGGAAGAGGGTACAAGGAGGAAAAATACAATAAAAAATAAACTATTAAAAATAATTATTGCTTGGCAAAATAATAATAATAATAATAATAAAGTCCAGGAATGAAAGTGAATGAAATGGGTTGGTGTTGACAATGGAACATAGCCAACAATCCGTATATGACAGGAACATGTCAGAATTAAGTATTTTAGAAACTATGGTAGATATATCAAAGAAAGATAAGTAATATTCACCATTTATATAAAGTTCATATATGTTTAAACAAATCACTTTTAAAATCCAAGTTTTTAAGAAAAATCCCAGAAAAAACAAGCCTCCTTATATTAATATTCAAAGTACACTAGAAAAAATGGCTATTACATTTCAAGGTAGAAATCCCTCAACATAAGAAGAATAAGCATATTCAAAGAGCAAAGAAAATACTAGTTCTGTTCCAGCCTACTCTTGAGGCATTATGTTTGTGGCCACTTCATTATCTGGTTATAACTGAGCCTATCTGATTTAGTACCCATGGCACTCAGAACTGTAAAACACATCAATAGTGACTTAATTAATTCAGTACCTATGAGGAACTGTAGAGCCAGGCACATTATATACACACTACATCAGGGGTGCAGGAACCCTGACCATCTTGCTCTCCACAATGTCCTCCACTGCCTGGCACATTATACCCTCCATTTTCCAGGTAAGACAACAGAGAAAAGGAGAGGCTGAGAGGCTGAGGTCTTAGTCAACGCCCCATATCTAGCCAGCAAGCTGGAGAACTAAGATTTGAATCCAATTCTGCTTGATTTCAAAGAGCACTCTAATTCTTCTATCGCACTACCCGTATTTGCCACACTGTCTTGGTAAAAGAAAAATCACATGGTGTAAATATATTATTAAAGGGAAAAAAAACACAAAGTGCAGGGCAATGTATTAAATTTCTAGTATTTGTATACAAGGGAGGGAAATGTTTATGTAAATAAAACTAATATGAGTTTGGTGTGGTTTTTAAGCATGGATTATTTTCACAAGCTTTCTAAAGACTAATAGCAGGATGTGAGAAGCAGGAGGACATTAAAAGAAACTTATTTTGCACCTCACTTCTGTGTTTTTTAAATTTTGTATCAATATAAGGCTGCCAAAGTTAGCAAATAAAAATACAGGATACCTAGTTAAATTTTAATTTCTGATAATGAAAAATGTTATAGTATAATTATATCCCACGTAAAACTTGGGACATATTTATACTAATTAGCAATTTGTTGATTACATAATTCAAATTTAACTGGGCATCCATTATTTTATTTGGCAACCCTACTTATCTATTATTAGCTCGGGAAAAAACTCAAAATTTTCAAAATCATTTTTAATTTAAGACCTTTTTGATTCCTGAAAAACTGTAACACGATGACAGAGTTGCCAAATCCTTTAGAAATTTCTAAAGATTTCAGCTGTGACCATATGATACTCCAATAATGGGTTAGTAACACTAGTTTCAACAGAGAATAAAAATCAAATAGGATATTTAGTTTTATTTAGAAACAGAAACTTAATATCTGATCGTTTTATTTTTCAACACGCTGAACTAGTAATATGTAGGCACAGCTTTTATGTAGTAGACAATTGGTGCTTGGAACATAAAACAGGTCATTCTGCCCAATGCAGATTACATGGCAACTAACAAGTGAAAATATGTTTTAGGCTAAAAATAACTCTACTAAGAGAAACTGTCCCAAATGCATACAATTTTCTAGTTATCTT